TGACACCTTATGTGGCAGGAAGGCGTGATAAAAGTTTTAAATTCCTAAGAAGGATTGCAGTTCCTTCTTAGAGCCAAGCTTTGGGGCGTTTTGGATGGCCCGTACCTTTCCTTCAGTAGGGTGGACACCGTTAGCGTCGATTTGGAAACCCAAGAATTCTACGCTGGGTATTCCCAAATGACTTGGTCTTTTTTACTTTCAACCCAGCCTCTTGGAACCGACACAAAACGGACCTGAGGCATTCTGCCAGTTTGCCTTTGGACCAGCCGGCAATCAATACTTCATCGAAATAGGGGACCACCCCTGGCAGGTTCCTTAACAAGCCCTCCATTAGGCCTTGGAATATGCCTGGGGCCACGTTTACGCCAAACTGCAAGCGATTAACCCTGAACGCACCCCTGTGCGTCACAATGGTTTGCGTCATGGCGGCCTGGGGGTCTACTGGCAGCTGTTGATAAGCCTGAGCCAGATCTAATTTGGCGAAGACTTTACCCTCCCCTAATGATGCCAGCACATTACTATTACGGGGACTGGGTAAGAGTGCTGCTACAGAGCCTTGTTGATTGTGCATTTGTAATCAGCACATATTCGGATAGACCCGTCAGGCTTTACCGGTGTCACGATAGGGGTCTCCCATTTTGAGTGTGATATCGGTTCAAGCACACCTTGAGCCAAGAGTTTGTCCAGCTTGGACTCTATACGCGGTTTCAGAGAAATCGGTACCTTGCGATACTTAAGCCGTATAGGCGCTACAGCAGAATCTAGGTCAAACGTTACAGGTGGCCCCCTATACATTCCCAGAGTACCATCAAAAACATCTGCAAATTCCACATACAGTGAATTCAATTTATTTGCATTGACTTGGTTGCAAAAACTTAATGCAATTCTGAGGGCCTCAAACCAGTCTAAGCCCAACAGACTGGCTCGGTGCCCCTCGGCAACAAGGAAACTCAGAGACTCCTTGAACCCTTTGAATTGTACCTCAAATGTGGCTTCGCCAGCCACAGGGATGCACCTTCCCTGAAAATCGGAAAGGTGGATGGTGCTCGGCTGCAAACGCCTACGGCTCCATCACGGAAACAAACGTTGCAAGGCTTCAGAAGAAAGGACGGTCACTGACAATCCCGAGTCAACCTCCATCTCGCATGGTACGCCATTCAGCAAGACAGTGATGTGGATCTTCTTCTTTGCTCGCGATCCGGTCATAAGAACATAAGAGACGCCAATGTTGGATCAGGCCAAAGGCCCATCCAGTCCAACACTCTGTATCACACAGTGGCCAGAAATACCAGTGCCATCAGGAGGTCCACCAGTGGGGCCAGGACATTAGAAGCCCTCTCACTGTTGACCCCCCCAAGCACCAAGAAGACAGAGCATCACTTGCCCCAGAGCCCCTATCTGTACCTATTTTTTGTCTAGTGCTGGCTATAAAGCAAATCGTGATTACCATGGGTTTTAAATAAGGTTGACAAGTTCCTGCTGGGGGGGGCAGGGGATCTCCCAACTCCAGCAGGCCCTCTCCACTGCTGCTCAGCTGAAGTGGGGAGGGCGATCCCCAACATCCATTTGATGTCATATAAGACATTTGCAGTGCAACTCTAAATCATGGGACCAAGCCCCATTGAATAGACTTGAGTGGGGTTCTGAGGAGACCTGTTTAGGATTGCTCTCAACCATCTATCAGATTTTATATTTCCAACTAGAGAACCTAACTTTTAAAAATCCTTGTTACCCTCATGGTAAGGAGCAACCTTAAACCCATAAGAATTAATGACATATCAGAATGGCATTCTAAACAGAATGCTGACAAAGAAACCCTAGGATCAGGGCCTGGTAGCCTTTTCTCTCCCTCCACCCCTTCTCATGGGTTTTTGGTATCAAGCCCAATGAAGAATTCTGAAGAGCTTGAAAGGATGCATACTGTGCTGCGTTAGTTTGGTTGGTTTAAATAAAAGGTCCTACAAGCTTTGGGATTTTTTTCCGATAAAAATGCTTTTAAAAAAATACCATTATTTTAAATTTCTCTCATGCACACAATGACATCTGAAGTTTCATTTCATTGGATTCCTTTCGACTCTATTCAAGAACTCATACTTCTGAAGATGTCCCTGTGGTCCTTGACTGTGTTATAGTATCTGGCAAGTTAAGATGCAACCCAAAAAGACAATGAAAATGATCAGAGCTCCTGGTCTGAAATCCTACCTGTTCATGGGATCACAGTGTAGCCCATCCCTCTCTCTGCTGTCTCTCCTACTGTATGAACTTGGATCAAAAACTCTGCAAGGCAGAGACCAGTTTTTCTGCTGTTTACATTGCAAAGCACCATTTGCATTTATAGTGCAATAATAATCATTTGTTATCCACCTATGAGATGGGAGGCTTCTTAAAAGCAGGTAAAGTATGCACAAAAACACCCAATTTGCACTTTTTAAAAAAGGTGCTTTCTTTGATTAGGATACCACCACAAGGCAGGTGTAAGGTCCTTGTATTGTATTCCTATAGTTAATCCAGTCAAAGTCCACTGAATGTAATGTGTTTGGACCAGAATAACTCCGCATTGGGTTACAGTCTGACAGTGTTCCCATGCCACCTGCCTCCACATCCTCTTTTTGACTTTTTAGACAGCGATAGCCCACTCTCATCAGATCTCAGAAGTCTAAGCAGGGTCCACTCTGGTCAGTATTTGGATGAGAGACCTCCAAGGAATACCAAGGTTGCTATGCAAAGGCAGGCCATGGCAAACCACCTCAGAATGTCCCTTGCCCTGAAAACCCTACAGCTGCGTGTTGACGGGGGGGGGGGGGGGAAACCCACCTGTGAGATAAGCATAAGTGGGTGGTATTACCTAGTGGGGTGGAGGCTATGGGATTCCCCCTCCCCCCAGTCACAATCTCCTCCTAAAATAACTGCATCTCTGGAAGTTGCTCTTTTTGACATATGGGGTGGGGGAGAGATTTTTAAAGTCAACCTTCGACAACTAGGGGAAACTGAAGGAGGCAAAAAGCTGAGTTCCATCAGGCATTCGGTTGAGGACAGCAATGGTGAAACATCACGGCTGGCCCCCTACTCCTAACAGAGCTTTCCCCCCCCCCCGAACGTGTGAAGCACCCACAGACCAGACAGGGGAGGGAGCTACAAAATTTCTGCCTCTTGTTTTAATTACTGTATGTTTACTGGGCTTGGTTTTATCCTGCAATGGTATTCCCAGTAGTCATGTACGGCTGCGAGAGTTGGACTATAAGGAAACATGGATAGGGGGGGGGGGGGACTGATGAAGCCCAGCTTTGGGGACGGATTCAATGGGGTATAAGGCCAGAGAGTCCACCTTCCAAAACGGCCCTTATTTTTTTTCAGGTAAACTGATCTCTATCGCCTGGAGATCAGTTGGAATCCCAGGAGACCTCCAGCACAAAGATAGGGCGACTCGAGCCTGAGAAACACCTGAAAAGGCGGGGGGGGGGCGGACTGGGCAACCAAAAATGCAGGTCCCCGTCAAGGCCCCTGGAGCAAGACAGAGCAGGCAACCAGACTTCCAGGCAGGCCGGACACAACGGCTCCCTCCTCAGGCGGGCAGGCGAAAGGCCTGAAGAGAGGCAGCGCTTCCCTGGTTCGTACCGAGCCACTCCTGGCCTGAAGAGCCTTGAGGGAACTGGCCTTGGCCAATGAGAGCCCGCCTCAGCTACCCAGGTACCCGCTCCTCCCTCCCGCTGTCTGTCTTGACCAATGAGAACCCGTCTCGGCTATCCAAGCACCCGCTCTCCCGCCTTCTGTCTATCTCGGCCAACGAAAGCCCGTCTCAGCTATCCAAGCACCCACCCACCAACCACAGCCCGCTGTCTGTCTTCGCGGTCATAAGGTCTCGAAATGCGTGACGTCATCACGAACACGTTGTTCTGAACCCCGCCCCTCCCTGAAGAGCAGGGCGGGACCCCAGAGAACCCGGCGGTGGTGCCGCGCACGCGTGCGCGTTCCACGCCGATGCCTCCCCTCCCCCCACGCACACCTTCCGTTCCCACAATGCTTTGCCGCTTCCGTCGCTGACGGCCTGTCGCAAACGCGAAGCGCTCGTTTGGCCGCCGCTGGCTGCTCTTTCTCCGCCGCTCCTTCCTCCTCTTCCCGTCTCCTCGCTTGGCCCTGAAAAACAAGACTCCAGCGGCGCCTCCCCTCCTTCTCTCTCTGGGCCTCAGCGGCGCCTTTTCTCTCCCTCCCGGCCTCCCCGCCTTTCTTCCCTTGCCGGCTTCTCGCGCCTCCTCCTGAGATGCCCCCTAAGAAACAGGCGCCGCCGCCGGCCGCCAACAAAAAGACGGATCAGAAGAAGAAAGAGAAGATCATTGAGGTGAGCCTCGGCTCTGTCGGGGAGGTCTGGCTGCGTCCAGGGATTGATTGGATGTTGTTAGCGTTGCCAACTCTGGGGTAGGAAACACCTGGCGATTTGGGGGGGGGGGGCTGGGATGGGGGAGGGACCTCAGCAGGGTATCGTGCCATAGAGGCCACCTTCCAACGCTGCCATTTTCTCCAGGGGAACTGATCTTGGTCATCTGCAGGTCGACTGGAATAGCGGGAGACCTCCAGGTGCCACCTGGAGGTTGGCAACCCTCGTTTATTGCAAGGTGTGGCGTGCTGCTTATTGGGGAAATGGTTTCACCTTTAAACCCGCTCTGTGTATATAAACTTGGTCGTTTTCTGCTGCCATCAGGAATTAAAAATTCCAAATCTCTCTCTTTTGGTAGTATGACCCAGGGTCTGGGCACTTCAGAGGACTATGTGGCCCTGAGGAAGTACTGTACTGATTTCTTGGATAAATTTAAACAAAGATTGATTTATTTAATAAAGAACAAAATGGGTTTATGGTTATTTTGAACAGTTGCTGAAGAAAGGAACTTGTAAACATAACTGGTAAAGCTTGGTGCTACAGTCTCTCAAACGCCAAACTCCACTCTGACAGGCTTATACACTCAGTATAATCTCTCTCTCTCATATATATATAGAGATAGCCACACTAGTCTTTTTTTTTTATTCACTCAGAATTGAATCAACTCAGTCATACTGAATTTTTGGTCTTATTCAGTCTAAAAAAGGCTCAAAATTCCATAGTCACACAGACTATGTTCACTTTTCAAACTTCACACACAGAATCCTCTCATAGAAACACACACACACACACAGATTCCTCTCAGAACATCTCCCACACAAGTCATCAGCCAATCAAAATACACTTGTCTCTCTCTATCGCTCTGTCATATTAGAGCAGTCACACTAAACATTTAAAGAAACACGCACACCAAAACATGGAATCATTACACAAGGGGTCAAACTCTTAAGGGGGGGGGTTCTTGCCAGGCTGCCTCTCCTGACCCACCCCCAGCCTGCCCTGCCCATGTTTGGCTTGGGAGGCAGGAAGGCTAATCTGGGGACTGACTGTGCCAGGTAAAGGTGGGTGGTGCAGTAGCTGGGTGGAAGGCAGGCAGGCCAGCGAAGACGTTGTTTGGGTGAAGAAGAGGCAGGTGACCCGGTGCCCAGCCTCGATTCCCTCTGCCTGGCCTGGCACTGTCTGGTGAGCTGGGAGGCGAGCTGTTGCCAGGCCCTGTTTCACTGCCCCTTTGCCTGTAATAGTAGAGTGCAACTTAATGAATGGTAGAATGTAATGTGCTTTGAAATAGTGGATTGGAGCCAAACATTCCACCTCAAAGAAGAGGATGCTATAAGGTCATTTGCATGCTTGAGAGGAGACGGCTGGAGTATAATGGCAGGGTCGCAGTTAATAACTCTCAGCATTCCACAGTTAAGAAGGGTACATCCACCCATCAATCTCCAACTTTGGTATATTTATTTCCTTCACTATGTTTTCCCTTGGAATTAAACAAATGGTGAACATATAAACTAAGCTTGTTATTCTAGTTCGGCCCTTGCTTCTGTTAAACAGCTTTGTTATGCTGTACGCCAATCTGCTCACTACCTGTTATGTATGGACTGGTAACTTCTATTTCATTGTATCTGAAGAAGTGTGGGTGCACACGAGAGCTCATACCTTAAATAAAGGTGCTACTGAACTCAAACTTTGTTCTGCTGCTTTGGACCAACATGGTTACACACCTGAATTTAACTTTACCTGGTGGGTTATTGCTGTGCCGGGTGGGAGGCAAGCAAAATGGTGAAGGCACCGCTACTGGTAGAGGCAGGCAGTGCAGCATCACTGGTCCTGTTGTGGGAGGAAAAGCTGGGGAAGACTGCCAGGCACAGGTGGGCAGTGTGGTGCCCAGCCTTGCGGCATGCTGACCAAGCCTATCACTGCCAGGCAGAAGGGGAGCAGGACAGGCACAGGCAGATGATATAGTGACCACTAGCCTCTCCAGCCCATGCCTGGGCCCACCACTACCAGCTTGTCCTTGCCTATCTGGCCCGAGCGTGTTTGTTGACATGGTGAGTTGAGCAAGGATGGGCCAAGGGAGGCAGACAGCTGCAGCCTTTTCTGGGTCAGGTGAGGGGCTGGGGTTCTTTTCCAGGGCTGTTTCAGCACACCAGTCCACCTCTGCCTGTGTCTATGACTAGGGTGGCCAAACTTGCTTAACATAAGAGCCATATAGAATAAGCAACAGATGTTTGAGAGCCGCAAGACGTAAAGAAATATTATCCGCATGTTTTTATTGGAAAATGTGCAAATTTGCTTTTATTAACATTAAATGAGACTACCAAAAAGAAAAGGAGTAAAAACAGATAATGATATTTATTTGTCTAATGATATTCGTAGGCTTCAGTGGGGGGCTTTGAGAATGCATTTAAATCTGCTTTCTTTCTCTGCTTCCCCCCCCTCCCCCGCCTCAAGCCTACCGAGGGAGGGGAACTTTGGCTGGGAAAGGGAAGACCGAATGGGGAGGCATGCCTCCCCTTTGCTTCCCAAGCCGCCTTGCCAGGAGCCTCACAGTATGTGTGAAAGAGCCGCGTGTGACTCCCGAGCCACAGTTTGGCCACCCCTGATCTATGCTGTGCCACTTCATACAAATGCTGTGCACCCATGTTTTGTACGCCAGTGCTGAGAGATGTAGTTTAGCCTTCTCACCGGTGTACTAGTTTTCTATGTGGGGCATAATTTAATATGGAGTAGTGTTCAGTCAGCTCAACTGTTAGATTTGCATCTAGTACCACCTTAGAGACCAAAAAGACTTTCAGAGTATACGTTTTCAAGAGTCAAGGCTCTGTTCATTAGGACAACTGAAGTTCAGGCACAAGTTTGCTACTGCACCAAGCACCTTATGCTTTTTCATCTGTAATTTGAACTGGCCGTATTTAAAAAAGAATTAGGCAGCAGTAAGTTCGTACTTTGCCCTGCTGTCGTTGTCATACCTGATTCTGATTTAGATCTAAGGTCATCAACCAGTAGAAATGCCATAGTGCACTTCAGTGTTGTAGATTGTGTTTATGTTGTCTATAGCGTCTGCTGTGACCAGTTATTGAAACACTAAAAGGAACTTGGCATCTGTCTTAAACAACCTTGAAAAATAAATAGGACTGAAGAAAGTTCCAGAGGGACATGTCTTAATGCAGTACTTGGGGAGTCTGGTGTGGCTGTAGGTTTGTAACAGGATGGAGACTTAATTTAGGCAGGACAGGGCTTTTCTCAGTGCCAAGGTTTAATTCTGGGGTATATGAAGTAGAAATTGATGAGAATGCCCCAGTCTAGTGTTTATTTCCTTTAACCACTGAGTACTTAGCACAAACTCCTACACTGGATCAAAGGGTAATGTTTCCCAAAAGCCTTGAGCGTCAGTTTTTCTTGTTGAAGATCAGATTTTTATGGAAAGATTAAGACTTCAATTCTGTTTCCATTTGAGAATTCTGCTGAATTCAGTTGGAATTATGTCTGAGTATCCATTTTTAGGAGCTGCAGTGGCTCAAGTGGTTAAGACGCTGAACTGCAGGCTGTGGAAGGTCGGTAGTTCAGCAGTTCGAGACCCGAGTTGCCGCATGACGGAGTGAGCTCCCGTCTCTAGTTCCAGCTCCTGCCAACCTAGCTGTTCGAAAGCAAGAAATTGCAAGTAGATAAATAGGTACCACTTCGGTGGGAAGGTAACAGCGTTCCGTGAGCCTTGGTGTTTAGTCATGCCGGCCACATGACCACGGAAACGTCTTCGGACAGCGCTGGCTCTTCGGCTTTGAAATGGAGATGAGCACCGCAACCCTAGAGTCGGACTCGACTGGCTTTCGAGCAAGGGAACCTTTACCTTTATCCATTTTTAAGAATGCATAGTGCCAGTATAAACCTGGGCATGGTTATTGTGTGACTAACATTGCTATGTCATAGGAACCAGCATGGTGTAGTGGTTAAGAGTCATGGACTCTTGATATGGAGAACCGGGTTTGAGTCCCAACTCCTCCACAAGAAGCCTGCTAGGTGACCTTGGGACAGTCACGGTTTTCTCAGAACTCTCAGCCCCACCTACCTCACAAGGTGATTATTTTGGGGAGAGGAACAGGAGGCGATTGAAAGCTGCTTTGAGACTCCTTAGGGCAGATAAAAGCGGGGTATAAAAACCAACGTACACTATTAGCCATCTGGAAATTTCCTTTGAAATTGTGGGGGGGCAGTGTTTGTTTTGGTAGAGTACATGGGTACTCTCCATTGCTGAATGAGTGCAGTTGAACTGGATGATGTAATAGGTTTCTGTTGGCTTTGATTGGGTCAGTCTCTGAGTGCAGAACTGAATACAAGAAAGTTGAGGCATGAGAAAAAAAGATGGATCTTGAACCAAAACGAAACTCCCATTACTGTATTCCTTAAAAAAGGAAAGTCACTTGCATTCTGGCATTCAGGTAATACTAAACTGGTGTGATTGACCGGGAAATGCAGCACATTTTATGTAGGTAGAGTACCAGAACAGATCAGTTCCTAAGTGATTGTGACAGTAGTGAAAGTTAAAGGTGAATTGCCGTGCCACCTTCACAACTGTTTGCATTGGGTTCGTAAATATTCCCAGATTATTTAGCTGGGAAAAAACAATCTCAGTCTTGGCCTTATTGAAGAATCATTAACTTTGATAATTAGGAAGATGTTAAGCAGGAGATCTTTGCTTGTGTTTCAATTGCAAATATGTTTCTAATTGCAAATATATTAATGCCATTAACAGCCTAATCCTATATGTGTTTACTCAGCAGTAAGTCACATTAAACCCACTGGGATATTCTCAAGCAAGTGTAGGATTGCAGCATAGATACTGATTCCAAAGTATGTTTTCTGAGAAGCAGTCCCCATGGAGTTTAATGGGTTTTAGTTTTTAGTAAGTCTCTTTAGGAGTACTGCTTTAAAAAGCTGGGAGTGCTTTTTTCCAGATCTGTGCAGCAGCATGTTTGAGGTATATATAAATCAGAGACTGTAAATGGAAATCCCATGAAATGATGTTGCACTGAGGAGAATAAAAGGAGCTGACAAATAACTATGAAATTTTGATTGGTCTGACATCATTTCTTTTAAGAAATGCTGCTTTTCCCAGTGGGATTGGAGGTCACGTGACAACTTCCAGACAGTAGCACACAATACAATTCCTTCATAAATCACTTGGTAGATGCAGCAACTGAATTAAGGAATGGAAGTGTTTGAACTGAGATATTATGTTTGGTAGCAGAGTGGTAGAAAGTAATTCATAAAGGAAGTTAGAGTTAGCATGTTAGTATGTAGAGTAAATTAGAGTTAATAGACAGGATAAGTGTGAATTATAATAAAGGATAATAGATAACAGGAATGGAATTATTAAACTAACGGCATAGCAAGGAGGGGAAGGGTGTGCCCCCCCCCCCAAGACCTCCGATCAGAGGGAGGAGGGTTTCCTTCTGTTGCAGAGGCTTCCAGTTTCGGAGGCAACCCTGTTCAACTTTCCTTTCTAGGTTTGGAAGAAGATACAGTATAAGTATAAAATAAGTGTATATGGAGGGAATCCAGCCAAAGAAGAAGTCTTAGATAAATTAAGGAAGAATCTAATAATGTTTAGATTATGAATTAGAGGAAGCTGTACGGTGGTCTGGTTAAGCGGGTAAAGAATGGGAATAAGATAACGAGGATGGAGAATATTTATATGCTTTCAATGTTTAATATGATTTCTAGAAAGGAGAATATAAGGGAAATGAAATGTTAAGATATGTATAAAATATATGAATAAATGTACACTCAATAAAATATTAATAAAAAAATAAATCACTTAGTTTTGCTTAAAGAAACTACAGTTCTCACAGTATTTTTCAGGCTGGAAGAATGAATTTAAGCACCATATTTGGGGACTAATGAGTAGTAGAATAGGGGCCAGTGTTGAATATCTATGCATTCTGTATGAGGAAACTAGCTTAGTACCAGGCAACTGATGCCTCTTTCGGAATGCTCAAGAATGCAAGTCACTTCATACACATAGCGGATTGGACACTTTTTATTATTGATGTCCAAGGCGGTTATATCTTCAGCCAGTCAGTCTCCTATAAATGTTGCAGAGGTAAACTGCGGCACATGGTCATTCACAAATAGCAGTTGAGAGAAGGCCCAGCATGGAATACAGGCACATGTGATAAAACTGGGATGTGTTTAGGATCTACTTCCATTTTAAACAGCCACTTTTACTTTTGATTATGTTTGAGCAACAGTTAATCCTAAGAGTTGGTGTCTCCACAGATGTTTTAATTCTTCTAAAATCTTTTTGCTTCACTTGTTTGGTTTCTGTAACTTATTTGTACAGCTGTCCTGAACTGGTAGATTTCATCACCCAACAAACATTCCAAGAAGCTATTTAAATGAAGACACATATGGAAGAAAAGACTATAAAGTTCCTTCACTGTGAGGAAGAACCTCTAAAATCAGATGACTTTTATTTCAGAAAAAATAAGTGAGAATTGTTGCAGAAACCTGTATAGTTGATAAAAGTAGATAAGCAGTCTTACAAAAATTCAAATCATCTTGTAATTTCTACAAACCTTTCCAATATAGGACAAAACCTTTGGCTTGAAGAACAAGAAAGGAGCAAAGCAGCAGAAGTTTATCAAGGCTGTGACCCATCAAGTGAAATTTGGTCAGCAAAACCCCCGACAGGTAGGCAAATGTTGGCTTGTTTTTGCTTAGTGCACACTGTGTGATCGCATGATATACCAGTGCATTTTAGAAGTGGGCAGGCTGCAGATGATGATGTGCCCTAATTATAATGTTGGCCACAGGCCTTGTTAAGTCCTTAATGGCATAACTTCTTGGCAGGCATGATACTCAAATGTGGTGTCAAATTTACAAAGCCAGGGGAGCCACTACCTTAACTGTTAAGAAAACTTAACTATTCTGGGTTAAATGTTCTGATCTCTTAATTTTGAAGCAAATGCCTTGTGGGATGAGAACAAGGCCCACGTAGCCCACCATTCTCGACAAAAATTCTGAAAAAAAACAGCAGGTGCTCAGTGGCCCACCAAATCTTTCTCAATAGCCTACTACAGATCAAGATGGGCAGCCGTGTTAGCCTCTCTGCAGCAGTAGAAAAGAGCAAGAGTCCAGGAGCACCTTAAAGACTCTGCAGCAGTAGAAAAGAGCAAGAGTCCAGGAGCACCTTAAAGACTAACACAATCTGCGCCAGGGGAGGAGCAGTGAAGAAGTGAGCAGTGACTCACGAAAGCTCACACCCTGCCACAAATTTTGTTAGTCCTTAAGGTGCTTCTGGACTCTTGCCCTTTTCTACTGGTGGGCTACAGTTTATCTTATGCAAATGTGTTTCATGGATCCTGTATAACATCCTGTAGTTTGCATTTAATACACTTTCAGTTAGCGTTTCCAAGATGGGTAACCGTGCTAGTCTGTCTGCAGCAATAGAAGAAAGCAAGAGTCCGGCAGCACCTTAAAGACAAACAAAATTTGTGGCAGGGTAGGAGCTTTCTGAAGTATCTGAAGAAGTGAGCAGTGACTCTCAATAGCTCATTCTCTGCCACAAATTTTGTTCGTCTTTCAGGTGCCGCTGAACACCTTCTCTTTTCAGCTGGAGTGTTGTGAGTCTCCCTTTCTGATGACTTCATTTTATTCTAGGCCACTCAAACAGACGCTGACAAGAAATTAAAGAAAGATGACAAGAAGAAAGAATTGCAGGAGCTGAACGAGCTTTTCAAACCTGTAGTTGCTGCCCAGAAAATTAGTAAAGGTAAAGGGCTGGCCTTGTGTTTTCTTATATGTCTCAAACTGGGGCGGGGGGGGGGGGTCTTTCGACATCAAATGGGGGTGGGGGGAAATAAATGATGAAACCGTCTATATTACAGGTGCTGATCCCAAATCAGTCGTCTGTGCTTTCTTCAAGCAAGGGCAGTGCACAAAAGGAGACAAGTGCAAATTTTCTCACGACCTGACTTTGGAGAGAAAGTGCGAAAAGAGAAGTGTTTACATTGATGCACGAGATGAAGAGCTTGAAAAGGGTAAGTGGTGTCTGGGAAATAGAACATTTAATATTTGGAATTAACGTGTTCCCGCACAAGCAGAGAACACAGTAGAAGTGCAAGACCATTTTGGTGAGTGTTCTTATGTGGCAGGACAAATGAGATAGAATTTGTTTTCAGTGCAAGAGGCCAGAAAATATCTGCCATAATAAAGGGGGGGGGTTAACCCATCAAAACAACTAATTTCTCACAGGTGGCACAAACAGCGGATAGCTCCAGGGAAAGCTGCTGGTAGGATTCCCCGTTCTACAGCACTCTTGGGAGCCTCAGAAAGGCAGTGCCAATGGGCAGAACACTCATTAGCCAGATTCCCTCACCTCTTAATACTGCCTGTAATGATTTCAACTTATATGTGTGTGTTTCTTTAAATGGTTGGTAAGTGTCAGAAGAACAAGGGGGTGAAAGAGGCAGAAGAGTGAGTGAGGTGATTGGTTGGTGACTGAGTGTGGGCGGAGCTAGGAAGTGTGTGTGTGGAGAGAGAGAAGGCAGAGTGTTGTCAGTTGTGGTCAATCTACACAGAGTCTGAGAAGTAGTCTTCTCACTAGAGTCATATAGAAGTGCTGTGAAAGGCATTAAGATTCTAAAGGAAGAAGAAGATATACTTAAGGGGGCGTATTAGGCAAAATCTGATATTGTCAGAGTGTTTTAAGAGTGTGAGGGAAAAGGCTTACAGAGACCTGAGTAAAAAGGGAAAGCTTTTACTGAGCAGCCTAAGAAAACCTCTTGTAGCCAATATGCTTCTTTTACCAAAAAGTATTATCTTGTTTATTGTTAACCCAGGGTCTTATCCTCAGAACCACATAGACCAATGAAGGAGCCTTGGAGCTTAGGCACAATACTGTGGGAAAGGTTAATTAAAGACGAATTAAATTCCTGGTGGCAGCGATAGATACAAAGAAACAACAAGAAATCTAAAACTACATCACACCTGACCGCACCAAATAAGAGCGGTATCATCATACTGCCTCTTTGAGACTCACAGGCAGCGGCTGGGAGGAGGAAGCAGGAAAAATCTGTCACTGCCTTCTGCTACCAGCGTTATTTCTAAAGCAAAAACGTTTTGCCAAGCTGTTTTGTTATTTTTTTTTGCTGTGAGTTAGCTGCCTGGTTATATAACCAAACTGAAAAGAGTTAGTCAAAGACCAGAGCTCGCAGTTTACCTGTCCTCTCTTTCAACTGCATGGTGACTGAGGCTTTTGATTAGATCTTGGACAGCTTGATCAACTCAGTGACCATGAGTGTGGCCAGGAAGGGTGCCTCTTGGGTATTGTGTACACGAAAGCAAGGTGTTTGCTTTTCATGGTATTTGTAAAATGGTTAGTCTGAAAAGCAGTCAGGAAGAAGACAAGGCCGTACCAATAAGTAGAAGAAAACAGGGAACGAGGTGTGAGGGAGAGTGGTTTGCTTGACCTTTTAGATCCCAATGTGTTTCACAGTGAGCTTCCTGATCTCAGTCACCATACTCCCACTTCTTTGTGGGAGTTAGAGAAATTTCTGCTTGAGATGCCCTGGCAAACCTCATTGCAAAACAACTTGGATCTAAAAGGTCAAATAAACTGCTTTCTCTTGTACCCATTCCTCCCCTCTTTTTTTCTCCTAATCTGTAAAGCACTAGATCAAATAGAAATCTCAGAATGGTAGTTCAGGATTGCTGAAATCTTAAGGACTGTCCAAGTTTGCTGTTCAGTAGGCTTGGTGTTTTCACTGCAGGCTTCATGACAATGGTGAGTCATCTGAAAGAAGAGGATGCGCTATTTAAGGAGCCCAATTAGAAATCTAGAAAGCATCGCTGATACCCAAAATGATATACACAACTGAAGGCATTCAGTTTCATATGGTGTTATCTGAAGTCTTGTTTCTAACTTAATAAAGCCAGTTTGGTGTAGTGGTTAAGTGCACAGACTCTAATCTGGGAGAACCGGGTTTGATTCCCCACTCCTCCACATTCAGCTGCTGGATGGCCTTGGGCAAGTCATAGTTCTATCAAAGCTGTTCTCTCAAGGACCGTTCTCTCAGAGCTCTCTCAGCCCCACCTACCTCACAGGGTGTCTGTTGTGGGGAGGGGAAGGGAAAGGAGTTTGTAAGTTGCTCTGAGACTTCAAGTGAAAGGTGGGATATAAATCCAATCTCTTCTTCCAAGTCAATATAGAACTTCTTGCAAAATGAACTCCTAATGTTCTTCCATGCCAGTCTCTTGTTTGCTTTCATCTTTTATCTTAATCCTGTCATTTACGGTGTCTTTTTAAAAAAAAATTGCACCTTCCTACAAAATGCGTACAAATATGCTTCTATTTTTCTTTAATGCGGTGGAGATATAAAAAGATAGCAGAGGTTTTTTTCCCTATTGTTCTAGTGAGAGTTTTGTTTATTCTGTCTAGACACGATGGATAACTGGGATGAGAAGAAGCTGGAAGAGGTGGTGAACAAGAAGCATGGTGAGGCCGAAAAGAAAAAACCCAAAACTCAAATAGTATGTCCTTTTTCTTGCATTGTGTTCCAGTAACTTGTTAAAATGTGTTTCGGAAATTTAATTGAGCCGGTTGAATTTTAGCACTAGTGTATGTGGAACTTATGTATATTTACAATCTCATTTTGTAAACCTTTTTAAGTAGAAAGCTTATGAGATGCTCTTATGGCATCAGTGTGCATAATCTGCCACATACTCAAGTTGCAACAATGAAATTAACGTGCATTCTTAATAGTTACTATTACAATACATTACAAAGGTTCGAATTTTAGAGCTTTATTTAAAAAATTTGGTGCATTTTTAAATTGGACGAGGTAGCATAGGGTTCAAACAGTGGCATCTTATAGAAACGCAGTGAAAAATAACAAATCCTATTTGCATCCAATGTAACAAGCTTGACAGTGCTGTTGTCATAGGCAAATATTCTTTATGGGGTATTAGACTATAAACCTGTTTTGAACAATGCTTTATTCTCAAGGAGGTCAGTACTTCAAGTGTAGTCCCCAACAATCTGCAGTTATATTGTCTAAAGCTAGTGTATGTTAAGTGTAAGTTATCATGAAGTGAAGCTTTGACCAAGGAAATCCTACAAAGTTATTATAAGTATGTCTTAAATACTGTACTAAATATATATTCTCCATCTTGAACTTATTTAAAGACAGATCCTTGCTGGCTTGGTTGACATGTAACACAAAACCGTGGTACATTTCCCTTGTTAAGTCCACCATTTCCTCTTTTGTGGAAAGCCACGGTTGGTCCCCAGTTGATAACACTCTCCACAACACTCTTTGGCAGTGATGCTTTATTAGAGATAGGCTTACATCAGGAACTTGAATCTTTGTCAGAACTGAGGAAAAGCCAGCGAAAAGCCTCTAATATAGATAAAGTAAAATACACCCCACCTTGCACTCATAGGTCACCAATGCAGCCTCTACGGTCACTATGACAACCCTGACAGATATGTGGCACCTTCTCTATACAGGCCTAGCAAAAGAGTCTCCAAGGCCAACTCATATGGGAACTGGTGCTGGGGCACAACTTAAGGAAAGATTACGCTGTCTACAAGCTCTCACTCCTACCGCATTCACTCCCCTCAAGAATGCCCTCCCCCCCATACATGGCAAGCAGTGAAGTGAAACGAAACTGAAACTTGACACTTGTGCATGTCCTCCAAAACTCAGTTGCATACTGTGCATTGGATCCTTTAAAGCCACAAATAAAGCTAGTTGGCAGAAAGGGTTTTTTGCTACCTCTCCTGTCCCACTGTAGCCTTCTCCAAGCTCCTATGGAGCTGTAGGGAACTCTTGGGAGCAATGCGGGGTGCAGTGGGCGGGGCTGCAGCTAGATGAGGACATTGATCCCCTCCCATGCACACACATGCAAGCTGTTTTGAGACTCATGCAACAGGTAAAGTGAGGGTGACTTCTGGCAATATCCCCCTTCTGACCACAGCCTCACACTGCATTCTCTGTTTTCTAAGCTCAATTGTCTCTCAAGGTAGCGGGGGGGGGTGAGGTAAGGTTCATGCCTTTGCTGTGGGAAGGGAAAAGTGGCAGCATGCCTTCGGTAAAGTAGCTCCATTCACAGGATACACTCAAGGTCTTGTATGCACTTGTTAGGCTTTTGACCTTTCTTGAGATGCAGCCCTTCACTTCAATCAAATGCACTACTGCTGTTAAGGGTTGGAGGTATTTTGCCATACAGACGGAGGGAGAGCCAGAATGAGAGAACTAAATCCTCAGCATGCCACATTGTTGCTGCAGTCAAGTCTTGGAGTTACGTTAATTTCATTATGCTCATTTAGCCTTCTCCTGCTTGGGCCTGTAGTCTCAGTTATGGGGCTGCTTCATTAAATCTTGTTGCGGGTGTAGGGGTTGTTCATGTTTTACTTACAGGTGTGATAAGGCCAAGGCCGAGGGTGCAAATTAAGGTAAAAATATATTTTATTATTCAGTTGAAATTCCCTCACCTAAAAGCATCTGTAGGTTTCTTGTCATAAAGAAATATTCTCTAGCAATATTCTAGCAAGGACTCTTTTTTTAGACCCACACTTACAATATTTTAAGGAAGGCTGCATATATTCTAATCACAAGCAGTTTTTCCCTCGTCCATGAGTAATTTCTTCCTATCTGATGCCAAGGCTTTTTAAAGTAAGCGGACGATAGTATGCGATTTGGATAGCCCCTTCTAGCTAAAGTGTGCTTAAAAATGGAAGTTTCCCTTTTGAACTCTTACATATGATGGCATTATGGACACAAATGGTCTGAGGAAAAAGTCGATGTATTTGGATAGAGGTTCCAGGATAGAATTGCAGCCGGAGATAGTAGGTGTACCTGGAAGAAGAAAAATATTTTTACGTATTTTGGGAAGCATGTAACATACTAGGGATCTGGGGTTAACATTGACTGAATAAGAAAATATGTTTACCTTATTTTGCGCCATCAGCCTTGGCTTTACTTTTTGTCGGTGTCTGGTGTGGCCCTTTTATTTTCTCCTGGTTCCTTATAGGTGTACTACATCAGATTTTTAAAAACAGAGACAGCTAAGGTTTCCAGCAATACTTGTGAGCACAAATTCTACTTTGTGAGCTACTGGCATTAAAGCTGTGAGCACGTGATTTGGCTACTGCATAAATTAGTTTGCTCTGAGCTAAGACAAAAATGTGTGAGCTGGAGGCTAAAAAAGTGTGAGCTAGCTCACACTAACTCATCTTAGAGGGAACACTGGTTGCCAGTTCCAGGCTGAGAAATACCTGGAGATTTTGGAGGTGGAGCTTGAAGAGGGCGGGGTTTGGGGAGAGGCTTCAGTGGGGAGTAATGCCATAGAATCTGCCTTCCAAAGTGGCCATTTTCTTCAGGTGAACTAATCTCTGTCGCCTGGAGATCGGTTGTAATCCCAGGAGAGCTCCAGCCAGCACCTGGAGGTTGGTGACCCAAGGGACAGCCTTCAAGAGACTATTCAGATGTGCAGTTGATATGGGTGTTGGTTTCTTTTGGTGGCTATGATGCAGCAAAATTACATGCAGCCAGTTGAATCTTTTTTTTTAGTGGCCTGTGAAAAAATACAGTGGGCATTTTATTAGCACTTTAGTTAGAAGCATGGATTGAGGCAGGTTGTCAGACTAAGTTGATACTGCCACAGACAACTTGCTTTATATTTTGGTGGCCAGAAATGAAGGTTTGCATTCTACCTGATTCGTGTTTTTTGTTCATTTGTTGTTGGGTGTTTTAAAAAGCAGGACTTGTTTATGAATGTTTTGTACAGGTCTGCAAGTATTTCCTTGATGCCATTGAAAACAATAAATACGGATGGTTTTGGGTCTGTCCCGGTGGCGGAGACAACTGTATGTACCGCCATGCCCTTCCTCCGGGCTTTGTACTCAAAAAGGACAAGAAGAAGGAAGAAAAGGAAGAGCTGATTTCTTTAGAAGATCTAATAGAAAAAGAGGTAATGCGATAGATGCTTGTGGGATGTCATGGTTGGTGACTCATGGAGGGGGAAGCACAGGCTGGCAGTGAAAGACTGAGGTGATCAATTAGCTGAATCTGTTTTGAACTGAGCCTTAAGGATGACTGGCCATCTTTGAAAGTGACTTGTAATTTCTAGCTCTTTTCTAAATTACTAAAATAGATTTATGGGGTCTCAGCAGAACCAAAATACATTTGTTTTCAGTTCCTGGGGATATTTTTTAAATGTTTCAGTGCCTATTATCGTTTGGGAATGACAAGGTAATATTGAATTCCTGTCTCTAGAGGGCACCCGTGTTCCACAGTGAGTGTTTAACTGTCAGCATGTTCGAAACAGACTGTAGCGCTTTACGCCAAATATCTTAATACCAGTCATCATGGCTAACAAGCATTTTGATTATGTTTAATCACCAAGGAATATTTTAAGTTTTCTTATTTGAGCAATTATCATGCTTACTGATCCCTTTTCATATCCAAAAAGAATAATGATAAAAGAAACGGGGGGGAACCTTGCAGTAGGTTCCAGGTAAATGCAGAAGTGTTGCAGCCAACCTCGTTGAAATTATAAATTTCGGAAAGCCCGCTCAGATGGCATTTAAGAGCCATTGGGTATTTTCTTTTATTTTTTTTCCCAGCGTGCCGCTTTAGGACCAAATGTTACGAAAATTACGTTAGAGTCTTTCCTTGCGTGGAAGAAAAGGAAAAGACAAGAAAAGATTAATAAGGCCGAACAAGACATGGAAAGACGGAAAGCAGACTTCAAGGCTGGCAAAGCGTTGGTGGTAAGCTCTGCTTCTCGGTCACGTTTACTTGTGGTACAGAAAATAAGATGAGAGCAATCCTTTTCGGTGGCGTGGAACGCCTTTGAGCTTTGCTTTGGGGACGACGTCTGTATTTCGTGTCGCTCAGCCCTGCACTGTGATCTCTTTCATCATGACTAGATCAGCGGACGTGAAGTGTTTGAGTTCCGGCCAGAGCTTGTGGATGCGGATGACGAAGAAGCAGATGACACTCATTATGTTCAAGGCAGTGGTGAAGATGAGGTAAAGCAGCTGCAGGAACCTAGTTATGTCAGAGACCCTAGAAAAGAGCCTCTTTTATTCGTATTACGTGTATCGTAAGCTAAAATAATTTGACGTAATGTTCTTGGCCAGTGCTACATGACATTCACTGCCGCAAGAAGCGGTGGCAGCTACAAGCATAGACAGCTCCAAGAGGGGATTGGATAAACATACAGAGCAGAGGTCCATCATTGGCTATTAGCCCCAAGGTATAGACGGAACACTCTGTCTGGGGCAGTGATGCTCTGTCTTCTTGGTGCTTGGGGGGCGACACAGGGAGGGCTTCTGGAGTTCTGGCCCTGCTGGTGGACCTCCTTTTGGCACCTGGGTTTTGGCCACTGTGTGACACAGAGCGTTGGACTGGATGGGCCGTTGGACTGATCCAACACGGCTTCTTATGTTCTTATGACAAGTTCTGTGTGTTGGTTGTAGGATTTACCGCATTTGGAAAAGAAATGGTTGCCTAAGATTAAGAAGGTTGGTTACGTGGTGGGGAGAAGAAATCCGTTTCGTTCTTTTCCCTA